AACCAAATTAAGTTCTATAAAATCCTCTTCATGTGCATCAAAAATTTCCGGTTGTGGACATAAGTGGATGATTTAGAGTTTAATGGATGCTCAAGACCCCCATATGTTTTCTGTTAATAGCATTTTCTGACTCTGAGAGTCTAGAATACCTAAGAGTTCAGAATATTCTTCAGAATCTCCTGAGAAACAGTTGTCTGCCTGATCAGGCCCCAGAGCCTGGAGTGTGTGTGCACACGTTTATGTGTGTGTATGTGCATCGGTGTGTGCTCCTGTCTGTAGGCACAGCTGTATGCGTGCCAGTGTGCATGTCTTTGTGCACATCTGTGGATTTGTGTGTCTGTGTGGTTATGTGTGTCTCTCTGCTTGCTTATGTGCTCACATCTTGTGCATGTCTGTGCCTGTGTGTATCTAAGTGTAGGTCTCTATGTGTTCTTATGTTTGAGTACATGCTAAAGTCCAGGCCTAGGAGGCAGAAAGCGGGGTTCCCAGTTTCTCCAGAACCATATGTATTTGTTTCCCCCTCTGTGGAGTGTGAATGATGTCGCTCATCCTACCCACAGCCCTGAAAGCTGGCAGGACAAGAGGACCACCCCTGACCTAACAAGGGGTGGAGGGGGCCTGAGAGGGATGGCCACATCTGGTTTCTCAATGCTGACTTCGCCACAGAACTACTGTGAAGTATTTAAGAAACCGCATCTTAGGTTTCTGCTGGTGACTAGCTGCAGCGAGCACAGAACCTAGGAAAGGCAGACTCTTCAGGGCAGCCACAGAGCAGGCGCGGGTCTTCCAGGTACAGAGGAAGGGACCCCTCCAAACTGTGGCCCTTGACACAGCAGATGTGGAGGCAGTTTGACAAGCATGCTGGGCCCAAGCCCCAGCCCAGGAGGGACAGGAGGGGTGTGTAATGGGGCCTCCTCCTTCCAGCAGGAGCGCACCTGCCTCTAGCTTCCAAAACAGCAACTTTGAGGCTGAGCCTTCATCTGCTCAGAGAAGCAGCAGACTGACAAACCCACCACCACTCCCCACCCCACCCCTCACCTCACCCCACCTCCACCACTTGGTGTGACCTTTTCCAGGGTGTCTTCTTTAACTCCATTTTCTGACTGAATCGCTAACTACAGGTAACTGATGTTTGTTCTGTATGAGAAGTTGTTAGTGGGACATTAGGAAGCCTGAGAACTGCAGGGATCCCAGACTTGGCAAATGAATTTTAAAATGCAGTCGAATGTCAGTGAGGCTGGTACATGGTAGCCCCAAAGTGGAAACTACCCAAGTAGCCATCAACAGATGAATGGATAAATTGATTTACGGTATCCAAACAATGGGATAATATTATTCATAGAAAGTTAATGATGTTCTGATACATTCTACAACATGAATGAACCCTGAAGACATGAGGCTAAGTGAAAGCAGTCAGACTGTATGCAGATACTGTATGATTCCATGGATATAAAATGTCCAAAATAGGCAAATCCATAGCAACAGAAAGCAGACCAGAGGCTGGGGGTGCGGAGGAAATGGGGAGTGACTGTTGAAGACATGGATTCTGAGAGGGGCGTGATGAAAATGTTCTAAAGTTGATGCGGTGATGGTTGCACGACTCTGTGAATCTACCCAAAACTATACATTTCTATACTTCAAGTGGGTGAGTTACATGGTCAGTTAAATCTCAATAAAGCTGTTAAATGAAAAAAAGAGTCGGCGTGGATTAAATGAGATAACCGATAAGATAAGCTGATGCTGATGATTTTTCCGTCGTTGTGAGAATATACACAGGAAAGCACAAGACACCAATTTAACAGTTTCTATGAATTTAGCGACAGTGACTACATTCTTGGAGTTGTGTAACCTTTCTCACACCCCTTTTCTGAGTTGTTCCTTCCCATTAGCATAAACTCACAACCCTCTAAGGTTTTATCTAATCTTTTCAGTTGGTCTTGTCAATTTGATCCCATATAGTTATTAAGGAGCCCTGATGGCACTGGGCTGTTAACTGGAAGGTTCAAACTCACTAGCCATTCTGAAGAATAAAGATGAGACTATCTGTTCACACAAAGATTCACAGTCTCAGAAAACATATACAGGACCAAGATGAGTTGGAATCAGCTTGATGGCAGTGGAGTTTAGATAGTTCTTAAGAGAGCATAATGCTCAAGGCAGATATATTCACTAGTTAAACTAAACTATTATTTGGTTTTAAGAAGACTTCAAGGGATACTTTTGACTTAAGGGTGAAGTTTTATCTCAGGGCAATAGTTCCAGGGATTCGCCTACCTTCTAGGTCTCTAGAAAGTTTAGAGTCTTTGATCCTTTAAAATTCTATTCTGCATTTTCTCCCATTTTGATCAGGATTCTTCTATAGAATCTTTGATCAGAGTATTCAGTAGTGGTAGCGGGGAATCATCTACTTCTTTTGGTCTCATGGCAAAGGAAACAGTTGTTTATAGAGGCAATTACACACACATTCCATATCCTCTTCTTAGTCCTGACTCTCCTCCCTCTGTTATTCCAGGTGACTTGAGACCAATTGTGACTTGAATGGTCAATTGCAAGCTTTTTAAGACCCCAGTCACTACACAGTATACTAGGAGGTAGAACAGAAGCACTAAACATGTTATTAGGCCGATTAACCAGATGTCCCATGAAACCAGGACCCTAAACCTCTAAACCAATGAACCAGCATCAGCTCTGTGTGTATATGTGGTTGTAAATATATCACCCAACTTTTGCCAAATCAACTTTTTATAGATGTTAATGCATTGACTGCAATTGCAGTAATTAGCTGTACAAACTTACTCTTAATCAATGCAATTTTCCCATCACCATTAACTCCCTTTTCCATCTCTCTCCTGCCCCTGGTAACCACTAACAAACTTTGGTCTCTATGTATTTGCTTTTTCTTGTCCTTTTATGTAAGCGAGAGCATACACTATTGGACCTTTTGTGATTAACTTATTTCACTCAGCATAATGTCTTCAAGCTCCAGCCATACTGTAGCATGTATAAAGACTTCATTTCTCCTGCTGAGTAGTAGTCCATTATATATATGGACCACGTTTTGTGTATTCATTCATCTGTTGATGGGCATTTCAGTTGCTTCCACCTTTTGGCTATTGTTGGTGTACAAGTCCCTTTCTGAGTCTCTGCTTTCAAGTCGTTTTAGAATCTACTTAGGAGTGGACTTGCTGGGTCATATGGAAGTTCTATTTTGTTGTTTTCCACATTGACAGAACCATTTTGCATTCCCACCAGCAATGGATAAGGGTTCCAATTGCCCCACATCCTTCCCAGCATTTGTTATTTTCTGTTTTTTGCTTGTTTGTTGTGGATTTTTTTTTTTTTTTTAAATTTTAGTGGAGTCCTGGTATGGCACTGTAGGATAAGTATTGGGCCACAAGGTCAGTTTGAACTGCAGTCAGTGGTTCAAACTCACCAGCAGCTCCTCAAAAACCCCATACAGGGTGGCTATGAGTCAGAACCGACTTGACAACAACAACAAGCCATCCTAGTAAGATGATGATGATTTTTTTAGGTGGAAATGATGTCTTCGTTTGTGAATGTCAAGAAATTAGCATCAAAGGGAGCATTTTTGAGCACTTACGATGCCCATCTGTCACATTGAATCCCCACGTAGTGCAAGAGCAATATTTAAACAATGTTCACTTTACAGACAGAGAAACAGGCCCAGAGGACTAGTAGCTGCCTGAGGCTACACAAAACCAATAAGGAACCAGTGTGAATTCATACTGTGGTCTGATGAATTCCAAGGTCTCAGCTCTTAACCCACGGCCTCCTTCTCCTTGATTCAAGGCATATTTTCCTTCCTTATTTAGATAAACTCCCGGAATCTCATAAATCTCAAGAGAAAAATGTAAGCCAGTGAGAAGTGGAGAGGGCAAGGGAGACAGAACAGAACAAAATTCTAGGATTGCAAAAGTGGTTCTCACTAATTTATGACTCCCAGTTGATCCATCAACGCATCACAATAAGGAGGGGTGAACAAATAGGAATGTGGCTCCCCATTTCAGTAACAAGCCATAAATAAACAAGCACCCGGCATTCAGGACCAGGCCTTCTGGGGAAAGATGTAGGCGCTTCTGGATCCAACTTAGAGCAGCAAGCCCCATCCACACTTCCCCCATCACCCCCGAAACCAGATTCAGCATCGACACCAATGTGGGAGGGAGACGGTGGGAGAGAGATGGTGGGAGAACACTGCAGACCCAGCCCAGGGTCCTCATAGCTCTCTGACCCCCAGTTGGCACAGCCCTCTAGGCACACTTGGAGATGCACAGGTATTAGCTCAAGGTTTGGAAAGGCCCCACCAAACAGATGTTTGAAAACAGATGTTCGACACATGTGTGGGTGTCAGCAAGGGAAATGGGACTGCTTCGAGACTTGCTTGATCTGAAACTTCTCAAAGAGCTTGCCAGGGCTGATGTCACTGGCTGGAGCTGCCATTGCTTCTCAAGGTCAAGGGCTTCCCTTCCATTGACCAGAACCACCATCCCACACACCTGCCTGGGGGGTAAGGCTTGGCTTTGAAAGGTGCCCAAAGCCAGCCTCCTCACTCACCACCCACTCCAGGATCCCAAGGCAGTGAAGGGGCCTGAAGGGGTGAGGGAGCTCTGAGTCAGAACGCCTGGGCACCAGACACCTAGGTCCGTAGCAGTAGGCACAAAAGGTCAGGATTCCGTCCCAACCCTGGCTTTCTCTTCTCTGTGGGACCACAAGCCACTCACCTCACCTCTATGTGCCTTGGTCTCTCCAGGTGAGTTCAGATCACCAGGGCTGATGAGCAGAGTAAATGAGATTCTGCACTAGGAATCCACAGGAGCCCTTAACGGGCCACTGAGAACTTTAAGGGACATAAGCAGCCTGTCTGTGTAAGCCAATGATCACTTCACTAGGAGGGCCCATAGGGTCCAACAACACACGTGCTTAGTCACTGGTTGCCCTGAGGCCTGTTATCCCCCAAATCCTAACGTTCAGTTAGTTACCTGTCTGGGATGAGCAACATGGGGTGAGAGTTCTTCATCCAGGTGACCAGTGGGGATGGGGAGCCTTGGGCCTTGCAGTCCAGGGTCACCTCTTCACCAGCTTTAGCCGTGACTCTCAGGGGCCTGTCTATACCTTGAGACCCGTTCACATGAATCTTGGGTTTGGCTGTGAGTGGAAGCAAGCAGGAGTTGTGAGCAGGGCAAGATGCAGAGCTGGAGGAGACCCAAATAGCTTTCCAAGGAAACAGAAGTGTTGCTGTAACCCTCAGGAGGCCCAGACTGCCATTGTAGCCCCATTACAGTAGGGAGGGTGCAGGCTACACGTGGGGCTCAGATCCAATGGTTCTCACTTAATCCCCTCCTTTCCACCTCCCCAGCACCACTCTCCCTAGGAAACACATCTTTCTTTGATGACCCTGGCATGGTCTCTTTTGCTGCAAAGTCTTCCTCTGGCTTCTCTTCATTCTAGTGCACCTTCCCCAGAGACCTGGCAGAAGATTCCATTTTCCTCTCTCTCCTTCCTCCCTCTTGACCATGTCATTTACTCCCATGCCATCATCCAAACCATTTCTAGTTCTCTCAAACCCCGCTGTTGTTGTCAAGTGGTGTTGAGTCGATTCTGACCCATAGCGACCCTGTATAGGGTTTCCAAGGAGCAGCTGGTGAGCTTGAACCACCGACCTTACAGTTCAAACGACTTTGCAGTCTGGCGCACTAACCCACAGCGCCACACCAGGACTCCCAAACCCCGCTAGAGGGTTTATAAATACCCGTGGATGCATCTCTTTGGTATTAAGCTGAAAATTGCTGTTGACAACAGATGCTACTACTCCCCTTTCCTTAGACCCCTCTAACTTCTACTCGGCACACTGAAGTCTGACAACAATAATTGAACAAACCAGCCAAGTGGGGCTATTAAACCCATCCAATGTCACCTGTCCCCATATATTCATGAGTCTTTTATTCAGAGAGGGAGTCTCTCCCTTAAAAAAAAAAATATTCTGAACACCTGTGATTTTAGATGTTTTCTGTATCACGTCTACTGGCTTTCTCTGTATTATATTGCTTAATCATTTCTAGAACTCTTTCCCTGGCATATTGCACTGGATGAACACAAGAGAAGTTAGTGTGTGATTAAGTGCCAGGAGAATGGTGAGAAGAATGAGGTGCATAAGTGCTGAAGGCAGTCCGAAAAGGAGGCCCTGGGGAGGGGTAGGCTATGTGTGCTGTGGCCAGTGGATGGCAAATATGCAGGCAGCCCTGACTGGATGCAGCACAGCTGGAGAACTGTAGAGTTGAGTATGGGTTTGTGGAAAGATCAAACTGGCCAGAGCCAAAACCCTGTGTGTAGCGGGGGGAGGGAGTTGCAAGATAGAAATGCTGGCTCTAAGAGAGTAGGATGGAAAAGATTGACTTGTGTATTTGCTCACTCATCCCTGACATAGCTACTGAGTACCCAGTCCTCAGAGGGAACACTGGCACCAACCAGCTTTTGATGCAATTATTATTTACTCACAGCTGGGGTAAGGGCTATGAAGGGGAACTTTCAGATTTTTTACAGCAAGGTGACTTGACCACACACCAGCAGGGAGATCAGGGAAAGCTATGATCTGTTGGATTAAAGAGCTAGCTGGACATTCCAACAAGAAGGAACTGAATGTACAAAGGTAGTAAAGCAGAAAGGAACAGTCAAGAAAATGAAAGGAGACCGGAGAGTCCACGGAATAGAGAGTGGAGAAAGAGGCGAGAGAGGGGGCTGCCAGGAGAGAAGGGACATTGGTGGGGTCTAGTGCAGGGCCTTGTAACAAACGGCTGATTGGAACTGCTGTTAAAAGTTCGCCCATGGCACTTAGGACAGTGCTCTGAAGCAGAGATCCTTGGTCTATGTGCTTTCAGAGGAAAAGAATTTGAAACAGGGTTGGCTAGAAGTCATAAATACTCAGGGTGCAAGGAAGACACAGGTAAAGTTGAGCTGTCCATCCCTCCTCCTTCACACCCACTGAGCCACCATCACTCACTGTTCACAGACAGCCACATCTCCTGGCTGGAGAAGCCCACAGTATTGGTAGCTGTGCAGACATAGGCCCCTGTATCCTGGGCAGACGGCCGGGTGATGACCAGAGTGCCGTCCTTACTCACATTGTAGTGTGGATCCCTGGAGGTCAGGGCATTGGTTTCCTAGGGCAGAACCACAGATGCCATCAGTACAGCAGCTACACCCACAGCAACTTGCACCACTCCCTTCCCATGATGCACTGGGGACCACCTATCTGGTTATTATACCTAACTGGTATCAGATTCCACCTACCTTGGTCCAGGTAATGGTTGGGGTGGGAACTCCCAAGGCCACGCAGGGAAGAGCAGCTGGAACGCCTTCATTGGTGATGTGATGGGTGGCAGTGGGCTGGATTCTAGGTGGCACTTTTTAAAACAAACCAATTTCAAAAGGAGAATCAATACGGTATCGCATCTACAGCTACCAGTGCCTGACCATGGTTAAACTCATTGCCCCAAATAGGAGAGCCGCCTGCTATCGGGAATCAGCTGGGTCACTTCTTTGCTCTGGGACTCCGCATAAACTATTTAATCTTTTTGTATCCATATTTCATGATCAGTGAAAAAGCTAAATTATCTCCCAATTCTCTCCCCACTCTGTTGGGGATGTACAGATGAGAAATGACAGAAAAGAGGGCTCATGGAACACAGTGAAATTAAAAAGTGTCGAATCTAATCTATGCAACATCCAGATGCACAGGCCTGAGTCCATCCCAGCCATGTCATTTGCTGGTATGTGGTCTTGGTGAGTTATCTCATCTCTCAATTTCCTTGACTTCAAAACGTGATGTCTGTAAAAAGTCTACCTCTTATAGTAATTATGAAACTTAAGTGAAAACACCATACGGTGGTGTTTTTATTAATCAGCGAGAAAAAGAAATTTGTTTAGAATCATGAAACTATTGCACATGATACTGCACTGGTGGATACATGACATTATGCATATGTCAAAACTCATAAAATTGTACACCACAAAGAGTGTGAGCGGTGGACATCAGTTAACAATAATGTATCAATACAGGGTCATTAATTATATCAAATGATCTGTGCAGGGGGAGAAAGGGCTGATGGGAACTCTGTACTTTTGTTCAATTGTTTTTGTAAACCTAAAACTGCTCTCAAAATCAAAGTCTATTAAAACTTTTTAAAGATTTAAGTCAGAAGTCATGCAGGACCTAACAGAGGGCTGGCACATGGGAAGTGCTCAACCTTCTATTGTGATTGTTAATGGGGATTCTGAGAAGAAAGGATGTCCAGGTTCTAGACCCAGCCGCTCTCTAACCTCTGGCTCTTCTTCTGAAAAATGAGGATGGATACAGTCTTCCTGTTCACCCCTTGGGATTTTATGAAATCAACGAATGGGGAAAAAAAGATATTATCATAGTTGATAAAATATAAAACATAAACAAACTTAATTTTAAACTTCTCATCTTACATTAGAAGTTATCATCAAATTACTTTTTATCTGACAATAAAAAGTAACACCAGGCTGGGAGAGTGCAGGAGAGCAGGGACCCTCAAATATTATGGGTAGAAGAACTACTAGACCAAATATCCTAAAAATGTGCACTCTCCATGATTCAAAAATCAATCCACACCAAATAGTCATCCTAAGAATGGCACAGGACCAGGCATCATGCCATTCTGTTGTACGCAGGGTTGTTATGATGGGTGTAATCTTTGCGGAAGCAGGTGGCCAGACCTTTCTTCTGCAGTATTCCTGGGTGGGTTTGAATCACCAACCTTTAGATTAGCAGTTAAGTACAAACCTATTTATATATTGCCATCAAGTTGATTCTGACTCATAATGACCCTGTATAGGGTTTCTGAGACTATAAACCTTTACAAGAGCAGACAGCCTCATCTTTCTCCTAAGGCATAGCTGGTGGGTTTGAACCACTGACCTTGTGGTTAGCAGCCCAACACTTACCCCACAGTGCCATTTGTTGTTGTTGTTGTGTGCCGTGGAGTCGGTTCCGACTCATAGCGACCCTGACCAGGGTTTCTGAGGCTGTAAATTTTTACAGGAGCCATTAGGGCTCCTTTTAAACACACAGATATACAAATATATTGTTGTTGTTGCTAAATGCCTTCCAGTTGGTTCCAACTCATAGAACCCTGTATAGGGTCTTCAAGGAGCAGCTGGTGAGTTTGAACCACCGACCTTGATGTTAACAATCTAGTGCTTACCCTAGAGTGCCACACCAGGAAGTTTAGGTATGTGTGTGTATATATATGTATATGTATATATTATTGTTAAATGCTGTCAAGTAGGTTTCAACCTATAGGGACCCTGCATAGAGTTTCTAAGGAGCGGCTGATGAGCTTGAACTGCTTGTGGTTCAAACCAACTTTGCAGTCCAGTGCATTAAACTACAGCACCACACCAGGACTCCATATATATATTACATGTGCATAAAATGTAAAAGAAACCCATTAAAATAGAAAATCTAGTTATTCTTACTAAGCAGTATTATGAGTTATTTTTCAGTTTTTTAAGCTCAAATCTCTAATTTTTCTATGGTGAATATGTATTATTTGTGTAATTTTTTAATATAAAGTTTTTTAAAACCAAGTTCCCTGCTACACTTTCTCCCATCCCATCTCACCCCCATCCTGGGGCTGGGACTCACCCTGGACCACCAGTTCCATGTCCCGCTGCTGAGAGCCAGCCGTGTTGGTGAGTACACAGCGGTACCTCCCTGCATCCTCCTGCAGCACCCGGTCAAGGTGGAGGCTACCGTCTGCTCGGACAGATTGCCGGCTGCCAGATGGGAGCTGATGAAGGTAGGAAGCACAGTTTGGACTGCAGGCCCCTGGGAGCCAACTAAGAGAGACAAACCCTCAGAAAACCAAACTGCCTTCCAGATTAGCAGGGAGCAGGCAAGGCCAAGAAGCCAGGAGTCAGAGAAGGCTGAGGGATTGGGGATGTGACCCTCCTCATCTTAGACTCGTCCACACCTTACAGACCCTGCAGGGCTGGTGGGCCTCGGACCTGTACACCCCTAGCCCCACCTCTCGCATGGTTGGCTGGACCAGGCCTGACTGGACACCTGGCCCAGCTAGGCCAACTAGAGTCTCTCCTGGAAATATGGACTTGAGACCAAAGCCTTTAGTCAGTCAGGGCTAGAGCCCAGGGCTCTGAGGCCACTGAGAAGAAGAACAGAGAAGGGAACAGTGTGGAGCAGAGCAAAGCAGGACCACAGGAGATAGAATCCCAGAGAGAAAAGAAAACAGTGGCTCTGGGCAGCTCCCTAGCTTGTCCACATCAGGAGTAGAGTGAAGTGGGGGAACACCAGCCCAGACAGGCCCTGGGGCAAACCCTGTAAAGGATTTCCAGCCAGTCCATCCTGGGGGAGAAAGCCAAAGAGCCTTCCCACCCAGGCTGAGGCTGGATGTAGCCCTTGGGCAGGGGTATACGGATTCCTGCTTTGGGTTTTAAAGTGTGTGCTATGGAGTCAGCAGACCTGGGTTCCAGTCCTAGCTTGGGCACTAACTAGCCATGTGATCTTGAGCATGTCACTTAACCTTGCTAAGCTTCAGTGTACACATCTGTGAAATGGGGAGAAAAAACAGACCCCTCTTCCCACGTAAGCTGTAAGGACTGAAGGCTAGAAAACCACACAGGCATGTGCCCAGCACTGGCTTCTGTGTCCTCACTATCCAGTGCTCTACTTCCATTGCTGCTGTTGTTGTAGGACAGGCAGAAATAACCGGGAAAGGTGTTCATGATTGGCAGGAACAGCATGTGCTAAAGCACAGCTGTGGGAAAGCTCATCTGGGGCCCAGTCAATTGTCTGGTCAGACAGGCATGTGAGACAGATGTAGGGAATTCCAAAAAGGAGGACCAGCAAAGCAGAGGCTGAGGTGTGAATGTGAACAGCCTCTCCATCCTCAGGAGCACTGTCCACTATCCCTCAGGGGCCCAGCACTCACAGGCTGGCCAGCTTTCAGCCAGCGCCTCTCTGGAAGGGGCCTCCCTGCAAGGATGATACATGGCAGAGACACGGGCTGCCCCTCTAGGACTCGGACCTTGGAGGCACTGCTGGCAATCTGCGGGGCAGCTGTGGAGAGAGATGGTGTCAGCCATACTGGATGCCGTGTGTAGTATCTTCAGGGGGCAGAGCCACCCGCCCCCTGTGCCAATCTTGTGGGCACATCAGGATTGAGATCCTAAAGGGTCAAAGGGCCCCCAGACACTTTGCAGGAGATGGGATACAGGGTTCCACTTGAAGAGCTTGGCATGAACCCATCTGTTCCAAAGGATAAGATCCCTAGGGATCTTGTAACCAGGCTGCTCCTAGGAAGCACCCACTCTGCACCCCACCCCACCCCCTGCTTCCCCTGCCTCTCCCATTCCACCAGCGAACCATGTCCGGTGACAATGAGCTGGGCCTCTGCCTGCACCTTCCCAAAAACATTTCGAGCTTCACAGATATATGAGGTCTGGTCTTCAGAGGCTACTTCTGAAAGAGAGGAAAGAGGCATGCCCTGGCTCCAGCCCTCACCAACCTCCAGCTCTCCAGGATGTGGGGAAGGCCCTTAGCACAACCTCTGGGAGTCCCTTAGGCTGCACCCTAGGGCAAAGATCACACCTGAGGTTAGCTGACAGTCTAAATAGCCTGGCCCTGCAGAGTCCAGGTAGACAGTCTGGGATGGCAGAGAGAAGAAGGACCAGGGGATAGGGTTGGGCCATGGAAATATGAGAAGGACTCAGCTTGTTCATCTGTAGAATGGGAATCATTTACCTGACCTGGACTGGATAAAGCACCCATCACCGGGCAAGCAGTAGGATGAAATAGTGGTATAAGTAGAGCAGTGGTCATCATAGAAGAAGAAAGCGCCAGTGGTAGATGCACTCATTGGGAGAAATAGTAGCAGCAGTAATCATTGAAGAAGTAGACGCAGCAGCAGCAGTTGTAGTTGGGGGGTGTTCGTAGTAATAGTAGTGTAGGTGCTCGTAAGAGCAGTGGTGGAAGGACTGGCATTGGTGGCAGTAGAAACAGTAGCTGCAGTAGTAGTAGTGTGGCAGTGGGAGCAGTAATCATAGCAGGAGTGGTCGTAATACTCGTAGTAGGAGAAGACGTGTAGTAATACTCGTAGTAGGAGAAGACGTGTAGTAATACTCGTAGTAGGAGAAGACGCAGCAGTAGAACTAGTGGCCGATGAATAGCTCCAGCAGCCGTAGCAGCAACAGCAGCAGAAACAGAATGAGTGGCAGAAGCAGTGGTAACGGGAGAAGTGCTACGGTCGGAGAAGCAGCGGCAGCAGTTGCTCAGTGGTAGGAGCAGCAGCTAACATGGAGTATTCGTCGGGACTGTGCTGTCTGCCTACTGCATGTTACCTCATGTAGCCCCACACAGCCACCTAGAATTGGGACTGTTGGGAATGCCAGGTGATAGGTAGCATTATCAGCAGGTTCCGAGCATAGGAAGAACTTGGCCAGGCTAACACAGTCAATACATGATGGCATGGCAGCCTGACCCTGGTCAGTGCTGGAGGTCAGCATCCCGCTCCAGGCCCGGGTGAAAGGGTCAGAAGCAGTAGCGTCTCCCTGTCAACCCTCCCATAGTCCAGATCTCTTACTTTCAAAGAATAGCACTCCTGGATCTGACTGCCCAGTCCGGCTGCCACGCCCTAGCGGCTGACCATCTCTTCTGTGCCAGGTGACTGTTGGGGGTGGGCGGCCTGTGGCCCGGCACACCAGGAGGGCGCTTCTCCCCAGCTCCACGGTAACATCCCGTGGCAGCTCCATCAGCCGGGGTGCATCTGCAGATAAGTGACTGGTCACCTGGGAACTGTTCCAGATGCCCGCTTACCCTCTGCTCCCCTTCCAACCATGGAGGCTCTCCTCTTTCAGCATCACACTTGTGAGCCTGAGGGGTTGACCCCTGTCCAGGACTCCAGGTCCAATCAGAGCTTGGCTGGCTCCATGCGCTAGAGAGCTCTGATAGATGAGGGCACAGCTGGGTGGTGGACGCCACCAGGTGGACGCTGTGTACCCCTAACTGTAGGGGAGGGGTCTTCCCTAACTGCAAGCCCACTCTTGGCTGCAACACCTCCTGCCCAAGAAGCCCACCTCATGGGGCTATTTGACACGCAGCAGCCATAAGCATATGCATGTTGCTGCCTTTGATCCTGACCTTGGCTGGACAGATTGGGACCCACATGGAGGCTGGAGGTGAGCCCCACTGCCCCTGACTCTCCTCCCCTGCCTACCTCACCACCTCCACCTCCCTGCTCACAGGGAACTTCCTCTCAAATGGAGAACAAGGCACAGGGCTTAAGCAACTCTAACAGAAAGACTAAACTTGTGGGGAGGTTATAGGTCATCTGTACTCTTCTCTAAGGCACTGGGCTGCTAACTGCAAGGTTGGTGGTTCAAACCCACCAGCTGCTCCATGGGCAAAAGATGAAGCTTCTGTTCCTATGAAGATTTACAGTCTTGGAAACCCTACGTCAGGTCAAGATGAGTTGGAATTAACTTGGTGGCCATGGGTTTTGTACTCTCTCTACACTCACTTGCTGTAAAACATGCTTATTTACCAATAATGTGATCTTATAATTTAGGGTCCCAACAGACACGCTCATGAGTAGGTGTTGTCATGGAGCTGATTCCAACTCACGGTGCCCTCATATGTGTCAGAGTAAACTGTGCTCCACAGGGCTTTCAATGGCAGAGTTTTTAGAAGCAAATCAGACATTTCTTCCGATACACTTCTCATGGGGACTCAAACCTCTAACCTTTTGGTTAACTGCTGAACATTTCAATGGTTTGCACCACTCAGTGATTCTCCACGAGTTAAAAGGAGGCATATTAATAACTGCATCATAACAGGACCACCCTGGTCACCTGAGTTATAAAAATTTCCAACAATACACAAAACCAGACTCCACTGCTGCTGAGTCCATTACAATTACTAGTGACCCTACAGGACAGAGGAGACATGCCTCACAGGGTTCCCAGGACTATAAATCTTTACTGAAGCAGACTGCCACATCGTTCTCCCCGAGTAGCTAGTGAGTTCAAAAAGATGACTTTTCATTAAGAAGCACAATGCTTAACCCACTGTACCATCAGGGCTCCTAACAGCACACAAGAGGTGGAAATTTCCCTACTTACCCCACACGTTCCAAATCTCACACCCTTTACCAAAAATAATTCCTGTTAACAAAATGTGCTGTTTCTTCCAAACCTATTTACTAAATGTCTTGTTATTTGCATAACATAGGTAGGTCCACCCCAAGACAGGCCCATACCACAGCTCCTGGCACTGTCCACAGGTCCCTGTCCCCAGACCCACTCACCAGGGAGGTCCCCAACCTGTATTTAACACTTGTAATCCAGCAACGTGGAAAAACACCCTCCGTCTCTTTGTTCTTTCCATCTTTCTCCAAAAATCTCCCTGGCCCATCCAAATCATGACATCATAATCCCCTCTTGGTTTTAGGGATTAGGGAAGTTCCAGGGAGATATAAACACAACTTGGAAAATTACTGCAAGAAGGAAGACAGTCTTGGACCGAACCTCAGACACCACCCGCACGCCTCTTCCTTTCTCATAAATCTGGCAGAATCTCAGGAAGCTTTATCTCCAGGCTTGCCCCAGACAGGGTCATGGGTCCTGCTGAGAGAGCTCTGCCCCCAGAAGGACAGCTTTGCCCCCCCCTTGTCTCCTTTCCTGAGCAGTGCTGAGAATGAGCCCCAGGGCCAGGTACCAAGACAGTCTGCCTCACCCAGCTTCACCCTGTACCTCCTCTCCTTCACCCAGCCGCAGACTGCTACTTGTCCCCTTTCCTCATCTCAGACCCCAGACAACCCATCTTTGTCTCCTAAGTCTGGGATCCTTTGAAGTCCACTTCCGTTCTTGAACCTACCCCCTGAAAAGGAACAGTGAAATAGAGGCATGAAGGGCAGCATTTGGGATACCTACTAAGTAAAAGGAGTCCTGGTGTGGTGCCGTGGGTTAATGAGTTGGACTACAAAGTTGGTTTGAACCACAGGGTCCACAGTTCAAGCTCACCAGCCAATCCTCGGAAACCCTTACAGGGTTGCTATGGGTCGGAACCAATTCAACAGCACTTAACAACAACTAAGTTAAAGGCATGGGGACAAGTGTTTTAAGAAACGATTTCATTCAGCATTTGAAATGTAATCCCTAAAGTGGATATTCTCACAATCCCCATTTCACAGATGAGGAAAATGAAGAGCAGAGAGACTAAGGAGTCGGCCCAAGTCCACAGTAGAGCAGGGCCAGTCTGGCTGATGCTAAGATCCAGGTGCTCAGTCACCAGATACAGGCCTGCCTCCTCCAGGTGTACTCCAGCCATCCCCCTCTCCCTATCTCTTGCCTGGGTAAGCCCCAAAGCAACCCAAATGCTGGACTCAGCTTCCTTGCTCAGAAAAGACCCTCTGATCTACCCAACCCTCTCATTGTACAGATAAGAAACTGAGGCCCAGGAGAACAAACAAGATGGCAGATCGGGTGGAAGTGCGGTGAGGAGCTCCATCAACAACACAGAATACTGGAACAAGCAGGCTCAGGGGATTGTCTCAGAACTCTGAACTACACATAAAGGAATATTTAAAAGGTTGGAAGACTTGCAGCTAGGGGAATTTGTAGCAGAAGCAAGAAATCCACTGCTTTCTAATTTAAGATGCTCACCTGTTCACGGAGCTGCCATCTTGGGTGAGATCGAGCAGGAGAAGAATCAGAGCAACCAAGGATGCCTCACAGAACCGCAGAGATAAAGGTGTGGACATTCTTTTCTTTTTGGTATCTGTTCATTGGTCTCTCGCTGTACACCTCCATTCTGGTGACTAGAGGAGGTGCTTGAGTGAGTGGACACCCCCCCCCCAACCCCTGGAGGGTTCTACTATGCATGCACACAGATCTCCTCAAAATTTAAA